TCCTTCCAGATGGCAAGTCAGTTGGATGAGAACTCGAGAGTAATAGGCACTCAAAGAATTGAGATCCAGAGCCTTCGTGCACAAGTTTTAAGGTGAGCGTTACAGTGTTTGTGTCCATTTATCTCATATACCTAGATTGGATGAAGAAAAATGTCAAAATAACAAACCTACACACATATCGACTGATGATGCACCATCTACTTCAAGTGACAAAGCCGGATTAACTTTGTCTAAGACACCCCACGTTCATCTCGGATTATTTCCGCAGCCCACAGAAAACAGAGTCTCCGACCAACTGTTCTCTCCTCAGATGAGTCGAAACTAGGGGCGTCCGCCATGAGCGCCGCCAGAGTGGGGGTTGTGCAAGGCACACGTGTGACCTTCCCTGCCCTCTGAGGTGGCGCTTTTCCGGTTCCTGAGTCCCTGCGGCGGGACCCCCGATTCCTCCCGTCGCTTCTGACCCTCCTCCGCTAGACCAGGCTTTTTGGTGGCTAAAGCACCTCCGATTCCCCCGGCGTCCTCCCACCCGGACGTAAATTAGCGAGATAGTAAACTCCGAGACCGTCACAGGGAGGCAGCCTAATGGGGCCGCCCTGCCGTCCGAGGGTGATGTGGCGGGATTTCCGCCTTCAATATCTACTCTTAGCTTAGTTTGAAGCTGGCATTGCAGTGCATGTATCCGTCCTATTCATCTCATTATATCTTTACCCTACAGATACGCGTCGCCGTATCTTTCCCCCTTTTCTTATCTCGCATCTAGCGAAGGCCGCCTTGGTGTTATCCAGGCTGAGAGTCCGCGCTAGTGTCCCTAGGCTACCAGGGGAGATCGGAGGTAATATCTACTTAGTGTTTTAGTTGAAGGGCCTTACAATCCTTTGGCATTTGGTCCCAGCTACCGGAACTGGCTTCATCAGAGTCCGAGAGCAGTATCTTTATCGCCGTGTTTCAAAACTCATCTTATGACCTAATATTGTACCAAAGGAAGCGTTGATGGAAGGAGCACCAGAAAAGTCTTCTCCCAGCATGGCTGCGGCAACGGGCTCAACATGGAAGTCGCATCGTAGCATCCTCATTCTCCTCGTGCCCGTGTCTCCAATCACCAAGCTACAGTTTGAAAGAGGTTGTCATTCGATGGTTCGTCACAACACGATTCCACTCACATCATTGAAAATCGGCAATCGGTCTTGGGAACCTAACCCTACGTTTAAGAGCTTCTCCTTGTCTGCGGGCATCATGCACTACGAAGTAGCCCGCTCCACGGATAGGAAGTCTGGTCCTATGCCATGGATGGAGCACGAGCCTCATCGCGGGAACCCGGGTCGAAGCTGTTCAGTGCGTACCCTCGATCTTTTATGATTAGGTCTTACACGAGGTCTTATTGCGATCCAGGCATTTCATCACGGACCATTCGACTCAAAA